ATGATAAAATGGATTGGGTATACCCTAAGTGCCAAAATCCGCTGAGTCGTGATTTTCATGACTGCGATGCTATTGGTTGACCTTCAACTGAAATATCACATGAAACAGCAGCGATCACGCGGAAACCGAATGATCCCCTATAGAGAAGGCCTATTTACCATGACTCAATGCCTTTAAAGATATTTCAAATTTTGTAGATTAGCATTTTACAGGAAATGTCGGATTGGCTCATCTGCGTCATAAACAATATTCAAAAATCGACCTGGACTTAGCCAAGAATACCTCAAGTTCTTTCGAACCCCAGTGTCCTCAAAATTTATCGATATTAAAGCTAACTTAATTCTGATGATGGTCTTGACTGAGATATTTGCATTAAAATCAAACCAATTTTCTTTGCATAAATTTTGAAATTTCACCCAGAACTCACACAAAGTTTAGCAATTACTTGTGAAAATCAGCCCTATTTTCTAATAGTGATTTAAAAACACTCAATGAAGATTAAACCCTGAAAAACAAAAGGGGTATCACCCTGAGTCACTTGTTTATCTACCCTTAGATCTTTGTCACTTTTCTAGAAACTTCTGTTTGCCCAGAACATACACAAAGTTGACATTAACTTGCAAAGGTCAGACGTGCTTCCGACAAGTAGTTCGATAAGCAATCAATAAAGTTTAGAATCTGCAAAAAGCGTGAATAAAGCCATACGCGAACTTTAGGCCTGGCTATTATTATTATTTTTAAATTTTAGCAAATTTTGAGCCTAAATGATCATATAAAATCTATTCGTACAAAGAAGTGCATATACACTCTTTTTTTATAAGAACCAGTAATTTTAAGTTCAGGCTGACTGTTCTTAATTTTTTCGAAAATCTGAGGCTGGATTGTTTTTAATTTGTTCTTAAATTAAGAAGGTGTAAGCAGTGCTATTGCTAGCTTTTTCGCTCTAAGGAAATGTTCAGGCCTCATTTGCCAACAAAGTGAGTGAGACAGCTTTAATTTGCTGACAAATTTGAATATTCACCGAAAAAGCACCCACACATCGCTAAAAATCCTCGATTTTGAGATAAAACGTTGTTCAAAATTGCATTTTGCAGAAGCTCAGCCTCAGCTTAATTTGTTCTTAACTTTTGGCCAGTTTTTGAGGCTCGTGTTCTTATAAAAAAAAGAGTGTAGTGGGTGCATCAGATGGAAATATCTCGCATCAAGTGAGTAATCATAATAATAATTACAATCGAAATTTTCATAATAGTTATAATCACAATCATCAGGATGAACATGCTCCTTGTTGCACCCATAATGTGCCACTGGAACAAAAGATGCTCTTATGTCCCAAAAATCTTCTGGACAGATTGAACAACCGCCTGTTCAGAAAAGCCACAAGTACATTGGTCGAAACCTGATATTGGTGCTAAGATCAAGATACCTTGTGTCCGGTATTGCTACATTATAATTACAGCAATGTGAGATAGTGAAAATTACACAGCTAATAAAGAGAGACAGAAAATTGGAACCCCTAACCACAGAACGATCAGGAAAATGACACCCCTAATGATGCAAGTGGAATGCCACCAACAGTCGATCTTGTCAATCGAGGATGCTTTCTGACCCAAATAGAGCGCAAATATTGGACTGACATATTTCGAAATATGTTGCAACAAAACTACAGTTGTCAAACATTAAGTTATTTCTGTATGCCGTATTGTTCGCGACACCCTGGAAAAAACCGAGACAAAAGTGTTCTATGCAGTTAAATAAAAAGGACTTTAGTACACAAAATATAGGTCGAGTTTGAGTTTTGATTGCGAGACTGGGCAAGGAACGTCAATTTTCGAGTTCATTTTGAAGCGGCCATTTCTCTTTTCATTTTAACATTATTGAGCATAATTTTGTTACTTTTAATTGATTCAATTTTTCACGAAATTAATTACTTTATGAGGTCTTCTGAACTTAGCCCGCGTAACATACTATAATGTGCTAAGGGAGACCATCACTCTCCTTAATGGTGATGGTCTTTGACGCAGGATATCTAGACCTCGAGGCCCTAGGGCAATTCACCTCCCCCCTCTCGGTTCCCTTGACCGCACATGATGTATTTCCTAGCAATTCTGTGTTTACTTTGTAGTAGGTAGGTAGGTAGGTAGGTAGGTAGGTAGGTAGGTAGGTAGGTAGGTAGGTAGGTAGGTAGGTAGGTAGGTAGGTAGGTAGGTAGGTAGGTAGGTAGGTTGGTAGGTAGGTAGGTAGGTAGGTAGGTATGTAGGTAGGTAGGTAGCGAGTAGGCCAGGAATAGGTATCTTGTCGGTTAGAGTAAGGTACGGAGCTCGATAGGCTAGGTACGGCCATACGAATACTACGTACTTTATATCTTTTTCAACCCCCTCTCAATTAATCCCCCTCTCTCTTATTAGCCCCCTCTTTTCAGAAGGAAAATTTAATTAGCCCTCTTTTTAATTTAGCCCCCCCAATTTTACTGATGCTGAGTTAAGTAAACTTGAAAAAACAGAGATTTCATTTTATTCATTGGTTCGTTCAATACTTCGCCATCAAGTTAAGATTCACACCATGTCTCTTCAGGTACACGACAGATCGAAGACAAAGATTTAATTAAGCATTAAGCGCTGGGCCATGTGAGATCCTTTTACCAAATTACAGGCCCGTTTGGTACTCCGAGGGATGGAAACTTAATAATTGATAGACGATGACCGATAGATAATATTAGCTCTGATATACGAAAGAGCTATTCTGATGTTTTTTTTTGCAACACTGCAGCAGAACAAATTAGTTTACACTATAAATCGCTTTTTTATTATTACAAAAATATTATATTAAGCGCCCCTCTCTCAACTATTAGTTTCACCTGTCTTTAAGCTCAATCTAGTCCCTGCTATTATCATTCCCTCTCTTCCTTCGTATCACACTATCGCTAACACGTGGCGCGACTGCGCACCATTAATAGATGCTTGAGGAAGCAACAAAGCAGTACTAAGCCCCCGGGGTCTAAAAGAGAATTATACGGATAGATAGCGTAGGTAGATAAGTGTGATTGCATTGCCACATGAACTCGTTTTAAATTGAAGACTCATAACCGCCCAGCATTCTCCATTAATCTACTCACCCGTCACACAGTTTATATAGTCATTGCCAAGATTCTCACCTCACTAGATCAGAGGATTGATAATACAAAAAAATGACAAGAAGTTGCACTACACCTGCTTAGTATCGTTTAACTAAAGATAAAATTACTTATACTTCTAAGGTTCTTAACTTCAAAAATACCTTTTATAACCATGCCTTATTGATTTGATACACACCCCCTGCACGGTACTTAAACGCCCACGCTTTCAATCTTTAAGAGGCTGAATAAAATACCGCTTAATTTCGAGTAGCGATTACCAACGCTCTCGCCTGGCTCA